CAAAATTAACCTTTATCCAAATTCTTGAGAGTTTGGGAAGTGATCTTAGGTACCCCAATTTCTCAAACCAACTTGTATTTAAATTTGCCATTTTGTTTTTATATCGGAAACACTTTGGATAATTTTTTTTCAGTATTAGTATAGGGATAAAGAAGTAGTTTTTACATTTTTCATGAATAAATTATTTTCTTAAGTTTTGCTCGTCTACCTTCTTATGTTTTTAAGTTTTATCACATTAATTTCACAAATTAAAAATAAAAAAAATATTTTCTTAAATAAAGATACCATAATTTTTAGAAGCCCCTTTCAATGATTTGTTTGTTGTACATAATCAAAAGCATTTAAAAGAGGAAGAATGCCAACAATTAAAAACAGTGAAGGTGAAAGAGAGATTTTTCAACAAAGCAAAGAAGAATTATAATAAAATTCTGTTTTATGAAAATAAATTCCAGCAAACACAAAGACAATTTTGTTGCTTATAAGAAAATAATAAGGCACCTCTCATTTGTTGAAACCGGTTTAGATAAGATCATCAACATCCTGAATTATATTTTCATCTCTACAACAGAGTCCCAACTTTATAGAAATGTTCTCCATCAGTATTGTCTAGCTTTCATTCTATCTTATTCTTCTAGCTTCAGCTATGTTTCTTGCTTATGTTTTTATGTTCATCCCGACATTCATGTCAAACCACCTTTGAAGAAACCACAAAGAAAAAAGAAAAATTTGATATGCGGCGATGTCCAATAATGATATCTTCATATTAGAGTTTATTTATAGCGGAAGTGATTAGATTTGTAACAATTGACTATGTTGTGTGGGTTATGGCCTAAAAAAAAACATTAGGATTCATTAGGTTTTAGTAAATGTCAGTTTTAGTAAAATAATTTTTTTTTTTAAAAAAAAATTGATGACAGAATAAAGTATTAAACCAAGATTGATTGATCAAAAAATCAAACCAAACGGTACAAAAAACTCTACGTCAGTTTGTTTTAAGTGAGGTATATACGTCAATGGAACAGAACAAATGAGACACGTACACATAAGATTGTAATTATATCATTAAAGGTATTACAGATTTTTTGCAGATGAAATTTATTGTGAAGCTCGCACGTCAGCAAAACGCTGTGAAACTTTCTATGAAGCTGACACCTCAGCAAACCACTACACAAATAAGTATTATAGATTTTTTTTTGGGAGAATTGGTTTTATAATGCTAATTGAATTAGAATTTGTCTCCTTAATGTTTTCTAAATAAAATTTGTCCTTTTAATGTTTAATTTAAATTTAATCCAATTATACCCTTTAATTATGAATTAATAAATTAATTTATTTTTAAAAATGTTTTATTAATAAAAAAAAGAAAAAACAAGTAGAAAAGACTTTCTACCAAGCGTAAAAAAAAGAGAAACCTCGATATTCCATCTTCTTCACCGTGTGTCTCCATCTTCTCCAGTAAGAATCACCGGCAAAAACAATTTCATGTAAGTAAAAACTTATTTGTTCTTCTTCCTCCTCTGTTTCTAACTCTGCGAGAGTCGTATTTGATTCAACAGCAACTAATCTAGCTCGTATTTCTGCATCAGCCACAAAAACCCACTTCTTATCTGTCTCTGATTTCCATGAACCACAAGTCACATAGATATGTAGCATGTTTGAAGCAGAAGATATGTAATTTTAGGGAAAATCTGCTTGATCAATGTGAAAGAAGAAGAAGAAAACGATGACAGCCAAAAAAAGAAAGAAAAAAACGTCAAAACTGATAAAAAAAACGTTGAAAATTAAAAAAAAAAATTTGAAATTTTTAAGATCTGGAAGTTAACTAATTTTCCTAGATTTTCTCAGATTTTGGTAGAAGATGTATTCTATGTTAATGTAGAATGCAGTCTAACAGGTAGAAGATACATTATACGTTCATGTAGAATGAAGTCTAACAGGTAGAAGATGCATTCTACTAACATGTAGAATATAGTCTATCTAGTAGAAGTTATAATCTATCAATCGGTAGAATATATAAATACCTATAGAAAACGACTTCTACAAGCTGGTAGAATATGTGAAGAACTATAGAAATGGGATTCTACGTGGACGTAGAACATAGAACATGCATTATACCAAGCGTAGAATAAATTTTAATAATATAATAAAAATATTATTTTTCCATGCATAAATGATATACGAAAATATTTTTAATTTCTTTTTAGATATTTTCGAAATTTTTAAAATATAATTTCAAATTTATATTTAATTATAACTGCCATAACTGATTTAAAAAGACAACTATGTCAAAAAAATGACAAAAAAATAGAAAAACATTATGGAGACAAATTCTAATTCAATCGACATTATAAAACCAATTCTCCTTTTTTTCGTCTAAAATTTTATTAAAAGGCCAAAAGGCATAGAAACAAATATAGAGTTCTCGACTAAAAACATAAAACACCTAAAACAAGGGTTTTAAGACACTCAAAATGAACTCCTGTCATTGGCGATGATATTGTGAAGCCAGGCAGAACCTCCCCATGCCAAGTAGGATTGAAATCTTCCATCTCGAAGCACACTTTCAGCTATATTTCGAGCTGCTTGGTTTGCTCCAATTGCCTCATGCTGGAAAGCAATAGTGCTAAACCCTGAGCAAAGATGAGAGATATAACTTGTGAAAGCTCTAAACCTTGGCCACTCAAGGGGTTTGTTTAAAGCATCTAGAACAGCCTGAAGGTCCAAAGTTAACACCACCTCTGTGACCTGTAGATCACGTAAGCTTTGAATGGCCCAAATAAGGGTACGAAGCTTTGCAATCAATCTTCATGGAGAATGGGTGAAAGACTCTCGAGCTTGGAAACGAACCGTTCCTGTATGATCCCTTAAGATCCACGCACCACCACTATGTAACTTGTCATTCCTCCAGTTTGCATTGATATTACATTTTAACACTCCAGGGTCTGGTGGATACCATTTGGTGTCCTGCAGTGCTTGATTCTGACGCGTTTGCGGATCACCATTGTCAGGATTATTAAGCTTGATCCATAAAGCAGCTTCTTCCAGAGCTCTCTTCGAAAGAACCTCCAGTGCCTCTTGTTGCCTGCAAACAAAATTGAGTTTCCATTTTTCCAAATCTGCCAAAGAACCCACGGAATAGCTGTTCTTATATCCTCTGCCACCGTGTTATCTTCCATAACATCCAAGAGGAAATTTATGTTCCGATCCAAGTCATGAGCAAAACCATTAGGTGGAGCCGGCACCTTAGCAAGCGAGAGAATCTGGTGTGCCACATCACATAAGAAGAGGACATATTTGATAGATTCCACATTTTGTTGACAGAGTCTACACGTAGAATTCAGAGCAATGCCTCTGGATTGTAACCGATCTGCCACTGCTAATGCTCCTGCCACCATTCTCCAGAGAAACATGTGTATCTTAGCAAGGTGTTGTTTGCACCTTCCAGATTCTGGCTTTAATAGCAATCCGCTGCTTCTCTTGATGGGACTTTGGGGGAGGAGGAACCAGAGGGTTATTTGCAACAAACCAATATCCGCTACGTACAGAGTACATAGATTAAGCTATCTATCTTAGAAAAAAAAAAAACTACTTACTTTACTAAATAGTTTAATAACTGGAAAGTTGATATTATACTGTTTCTATCTGTCTTTTTTTTTTTGTCATCTGAATTTTATATTATAAAGCTTTGAAAAAGCACATTACAAAGATCATACTGACAACCCAAAAGGATGGTTGACCTTAGAGGCTCACAAAAAATTTTCTAACCTACTCAAAGATAGCCGAAAAGAAAGACAAGGGAGAAAAACCGAGATTACGAAGAGAGCAAACCGCTCTCACTTGCAAAGATGTCGTGAAACCAACAAGGATGACCAGTAGCAACATACGACTGATATCTATTCCCAGATATAACACTTTGCGCAATGAGAGAAGCTCCTCTATTCGTAGCTCCTATTTCTAATTCCAATCTCCAATCTTTAAAATCCTTTAACCTTAATTTAACCTCTGAAGCTTGGTATTGAAAAGCAGGCCAAGCCTTTGGTCTTCCGATCGCACCAACTAATACAGAGTCTTCCAAAGCAAAAATCACCTTGTCAATGTTGTAGCTGTGAATATTATCAATTGCCCACATCAGACACTTCAGTTGGCCATCCTCCTTTGAGTTGATCCCAGCAAAAGCTCTTCTACTGTGCATCAAAACTCTCCCCGTCCAATCTCTAAGGACCCAAGAAATACCCATCGATCTCCATTTTCTTGACAAAGCAAAACCCACATTACATTTAAGCTAGGGATCAGGTGGTTTTTCCCATCTCCACTGCTTTTTAAGCTTCCCTGATACTGGAGATACACAACTGGAGGAGTTAATGATTTGAGCATTCACCCATTTATACTGTTTCTATCTGTCATTAGGAACTAAAAAGTAATACGTTCCAAGAGTAAAATATAATTATATAGGCAAATAACCGAATAGCTAAAAATTAGGATATCTGCGATCAAGGGCATAGTAAAATAATTATTACAAAACTCTTTTATAATTTTAGATATAAATCTATTGTATTTGTTGGTGAAATTATTATCTAATATTTGAGATCCGCTTGTATATGCTACAACATGTAATAATTTTTTTATCAACATAATGATTATTTTTAATTATTTTCAAATTTAAAATGACTTTATTTATTATAATTTGAGATTATTATATATTTAACAAATTCATGTTTTTATAGCTTCACAGAAAAATAAAATACTTAACACCTTAATTTTTGTACTCTAATATTTTTTTTTTCATTTCATCATTTTTATCACATATTTTGGTCGAATTAAAACTTTTAAATACATTTTCATTCGTAAAGTAGATAATTTATGTTCATTTTAAGAAATTTAAATCTTATGCGAGAAAAAAATAGAATATTTTTTATTCATGTTGATGATGGATATAAAGAATATGATGATTATAATAATTAATATATTTTAATTGAAAGATATAATAGGAAGATAGAGAAAGAGAGTACAATTGATTTATTTTTATGATTAGTTTAACGATGAATACAAATAAATTTCGAACACTTAAACATGAATGACATAAAATATAAGTATTTTAATAATTTTAACTTATTCTTATATCTATTTGAGAAGCTCTGGTGTTGACACATCATCATAGTTTCCCTGTAAATAACACATTAATATAATATTAGATTCTTATAAGGAGCCCAAACAATTATCTTCGAAGCTAAGTGAAAGTAAAAGAAGAAGGAAAAAAAAAGGAATTTTTCAATAACAACAGTTATGTGAACACAAAGAATATAAGCATCTTTTTTATCAGATTAAATTTATCCATTTGAAAAAAAAAAAAGTAAAAACTGTATGCATAAAGAGAAAAACGAAATATGTTGGAAAAAAAAAAAGAAATACGGATCAATATCAAGAACAACAGTTCTATAGACACAAAACATGGTTATTATTGCGTTCATGGTGCACCTGGTGGAGCTGGGTGTCCGATGCCTGGGCTATGACCTGGTTCAGTGGGTCGGAAAGCTTTTTGCTCTAAATTCTTGATTTCGAAGTGAAAAACTGTAAGCATAAAGAGAAAAACAAAATACGGATCAATATCAAGAACAACAGTTCTATAGACACAAAACATGGCTATTATTGCGTTCATGGTGCACCTGGTGGAGCTGGGTGTCCGATGCCTGGGCTATGACCTGGTTCAGTGGGTCGGAAAGCTTTTTGCTCTAAATTCTTGATTTTGAAGTGAAAAACTGTACGCATAAAGAGAAAAACGAAATACAGATCAATATCAAGAACAACAGTTCTATAGACACAAAACATGGCTATTATTGCTTTCATGGTGCATCTGGTGGAGCTGGGTGTCCGATGCCTGGGCTATGACCTGGTTCAGTGGGTCGGAAAGCTTTTTGCTCTAAATTCTTGATTTCGAAGTGAAAAACTGTACGCATAAAGAGAAAAACGAAATACAGATCAATATCAAGAACAACAGACATAAAACATGGCTATTATTGCGTTCATGGTGCACCTGGTGGAGCTGGGTGTCCGATCCCTGGGCTATGACCTGGTTCAGTGGGTCGGAAAGCTTTTTGCTCTAAATTCTTGATTTCGAAGTGAAAAACTGTACGCATAAAGAGAAAAACGAAATACAGATCAATATCAAGAACAACAGACACAAAACATGGCTATTATTGCGTTCATGGTGCACCTGGTGGAGCTGGGTGTCCGATCCCTGGGCTATGACCTGGTTCAGTGGGTCGGAAAGCCTTTTGCTCTATATTCTTGATTTCGAAGTGATATTTTGGGGGTGATGGTGGTGACTGATCAAGAGTATTAGGCGTACCGAATACTTTAACTGATGTTCGAGTAGCCATTGTACTTTCAAAATGTAAATGTAAAACAAGAGAAATAAATAGAACCAAAGTGAAAGACGCGATAGAATAACCATGTTTCATTATCATGCTATAACACTTAGAACTTCAAAAATTAACACCTAAAACAATCTTTATCTTTAAAATATAAACAATTAGAAGAAGTGATTTGAGTTTCTTGTCCAATTGGTTACATACTTATAGAATATCTCACCAATATAATATTAATATTTTGAGTTAATTTTAGTTGAAAATCTCTTATTAAAATTCTACCTCTTTTGGTGAGATACTCATTAAATATCTCATCAGTGTAATCTTATTCTTTTTAGTACATTTTTTATATTTATAGTTTAATTTACTAAAAAATCTTATGTTAAATTTTATTCTAAATTAGAAAAATTGTTTAAACATATCAAATTACATCTGAAATACACTTAATTTTATAGATTAGTTATGTTTATTTATAATATCTATAATAGTAAACATATTAAATCTGTAAATACTAACAAGTGTAATAGCAATATTTATAATGCAATACATTATAAGTAATATATTTAAAGATTTTTTCTCTTAATTTACAATTTTAAGCATAAAATTACATAGTGTAAACTTTTAATAAATAAAACTTAAACTGCGAAAAAACATATATACTGTTTAAAAAATGGTCAATGATATAACTAATTTGGCTCAAAATGACAATTGTTATTAAAATAAAAAAAAATTATATTTACAAATGTCAGATTTTGTCTCCACTTTATATTATTCTATTTATAGAAACATTACTAGTTTTATATTAAATTTAATTAATATTAATTAAAATTAATTTAAGATATTCTCATACATAATAGAATTTGATAGATAGATAATTTTAATTTTAAAATTTTAAACTTATTGATATTAAAAAGTGTGATATTTGATTTGAAGAAATTTTATAGCAAAACAATATCAAAATTTTTAATACCACAAAGCAAAATTCCTTAAAATACCATTTTAAAAGATATTTTGTTTCAAACATACCATTACCAACTTTTTCTTTCCAAAACTATCCATAAAAATGATTTTTTTCCACAAATACCACAAACACCAAAAATGAGTTTAAAGGGTTTCTAATTTAAATATTTGGATT